TCCATCCGACGTAAATTCAGATAAATATATGCTAATTGATTTCAAATACCGAATGCAGGTGAAAAAAAAATGTTTTCTTCCTTATATTTTGGTAATAAAGTTTGAAAGTTGTTAACATGAAATGAAAGATGCAACAAAAAGTAGAACAAAAAAAGAAAAAGGGCTTTTTAAAATTGTGGCAGCGTAAACAAGACGAAAGGAAATGGTTGGTCCCAATGTCACAAGGCACAAAAAATACTGTACCATGTGAAACTACAGTATAAGTTAAATAAAAAGTGTACTATTATCCGTATCTTTCTTTTCCTTAAGAATCTATCTCACTGTAATCCTTTTTTTGCCTCTTATATTTAACTGTTATTAGGATAAAAAAAGGACCCTTGGCCAATTTGCTTATTTTGTACTAGGAAATAAATTTTGGACCATAGTGGATAGAAAAGACATGTGATTCTCAAATTTCTCCTCCTTTTACAGGTAAATAATCTAACTTTTTACGAGTATCTATCTGAAAATTCAGTGTAAAGTTCTAGTAGTAATTAGTAAAGACTGCTAAATGGTTCAATCAAAATTCTGAGAAATCTTGGACGAGGTCGGTTTCACTTGTAAATAGAAAATCCATCTACAAAACTTAGACCAAATTAAATCCATTCTCAAAAAATCAAGAACACACAAAGGAAACACCTTTTTTCTCTCAATAAGAAAAAGTTGCGAAGCTGTAATTTTTTTTCATTTGTCCAAGCCTTAGTTCATTTCAATAAAGTATGGATTCACTATGCCTTAGTCGATAGAATTATCTTATATACCTGTTACGGGTGGGAGATAACAAGTATTTGATACCCGTAAAATTAGATGCACACAAACTGATATGAACACACGATTATTAAAAAAAAAAAACAAGAATACGAGTATAGAGAAAGAGGGTATAGACCGTAAAGAAAGAGATGATGAAAAAAAGAAATAGGGAAGATGATTACAAAGGCATTGGAAGAGGAAAAGAATCTCGTAGAAAAGGGAAGAAATATTTGTCGTCCTACAACAATGATTATACCTCTTTTTTTCTCACTTTATTTTATTTTTAGCTTTGGCCTTTAGGTAAAAGAACATGAGTGGAGTGAAGCATAACAATTGGTTTGAACCGTTCAATTCAAAGTAGAACAGTGAGGGGTTACACTTACGACATAGTTAGGTGAGCAATCAGTCTGTTTTAGTATTTGGACAAAGCATAACTACACCTTGCCGACAGGAATTTCTGTCTCTCCACTAAATTGGTAATTACAATTAAATGGCCCCATATCCCCCAAATAAAGCTACCATATACGCCTTAATAGCTAAACCCACTCACTCACCCACCACAATGCCCCTCAAGGCACACAACCCCCTTCTATTTTTACGGAATAATTTGTACGAATCTTGACTAATTTTACGGTTACTTATACTCCTGATTAGATGGAAAAATTCCAACCACCAGCATCGATGGTCCTTTTTTTATTTTTGTAATTATAATATTTGGACCAGCTTGCGCACACTTCGATTTATTTTATGAAATACCTCAGTCCCTTCTATTATTCTACTTCTACTCACTACCACCCACCCCATAAAACTGTAACACCAAATTTTTCGTTTTTCAAAATTTTAAACTCTTATATAAATAGTCCAAGTTCAAAGGTGGTTTTTTGAATTTTAAAATTGAACATATTTTGTGACAATACATGGAAACTTACTATAAAATATATAGATATTTAAAATTTTCAACCAATATAAATTTTCAATAAGAAAAATACTTCAGTGAGCATACATTTGTTGTGTATATCCGTCTATTCAGCAGTTAGGATCTAGCTATAGATACAATTCTCATTTCTGTCAGGTTGGGGTTGAGACTTGGACATTCCGTACCATGTTTCTCAAACTAGCCCCAAGTTCTTAGGGGTTGTTTGGTCATCGGATAAGGTGGGATATCCATGTTTGGTCCAAATGAGTGCTTTACCAAAGTCTTCAAATACAGTCACATTGCATTCATCTCTGTCACGGACCTGCCTAATTCCGACTCTAAAAACTAGCTCGTGAGATGAAGAATTGTAAAACAATTATAAGATGTCCTAGCCTCCATCATCTGTTTCACGCGGGAGGGCGTCACACCCTAACCCACCCAAATTCGCAACGGCCTTGCTGTCTCGTCACACCCTAACCCACCCAAATTCGCAACGCCCTTGCTATTGTGAGACTGGCTCTGATATCACTCTGTCACTGTTGCACTAATAATATATGTATGCTATGGAAGATTTTTACCTTAGTGAGGAAATTCACTTTCAACAGTATCTCTAGCTAACATCTAGCTAAAGTAGCCAGGTTAAGACTTTGAGATCAAAAGTTTACATGTACATTTCTACCCGTAGCAAATAATTTTTTTCCAAGTTAAATGATTCTTTACAGTCCCATTATACAGTGGTCATCGTGGGTTGCTCTAGTGGTGAGCATCCTCCACTTCCAACCAAGAGGTTGTGAGTTAGAGTCACCCCAAGAGCAAGGTGGGGAGTTTTTGGTCTATCGGAAATAGCCTCTCTACCCCCAGGGTAGGGGTAAGGTCTGCGTACACACTACCCTCCCCATACCCCACTAGTGAAATTATACTGTGTTGTGTTGTTGTTGTATATAGTGGTCATTGAAAATTTTTCTCTTCATCATTAAACATTATGATACATCCTCAAAATTTTGCTTTAATTGGTATAAACAGCACGTACAGAATTTGGCACAGTTGCCTGTGGTGGTTAGAAGTACTTAGCATAAGGAAAAAAGAGGTATCGTACAAAAATCAATCAATACCTAGAAACCCCACAAAAAATTGATAGGGAAAAAGGAGAAAAAGGAAATAAGCCTTTCCCTCGAAGGGTATCTCTCTTATGATGCTATCATACTATAGTTTAAGATAAGAAAGAAATAAGATAAGCTCTTTAAAAATAATAGTATGAAACTTGTGTTAACAACAATAGCAAGTGTGGTCATAGAATCTCTTTTTGGTAAGCTTAATCCTAACACAACCTATTTTTAAAAGACACTAAGTGACAGGAAAGTAAACAGCCACCACTTTTTCAAAGGAAAGGAAATTGTTCTAACATTGTCCCTAAGAGCTTTCCAAGAACTGCTTGATGCCATTAGAAAATTAGATGGAAACAAAGCAAAAGTCAAAAATCAAACATACTATCAAGTCACCAAAGAGAATATATATTTCTTACGAAGAGAGTCTCTCTTTCCTTCCAAGATAGGGTAAGGCTGCGTACATCCTACCCTCTCCAGATTCCACTTGTGGAATGGGTTGTTGCACCAAAGAGTATACTATATTTCTTCAATGTTCGTGAATATGGTAAAGTGAACTCAACGAAAATGTGGGAGGCGTCAAGCTAAATCAAACTCTAAGAATCAAAATGATATAAAGGTTATCTAGAATATATGCAAATTATGATGAATGTATCATTGAAAGATTAAAACCACAGTGAAATTCGGATAAAACTTTAACTATTACCGGGTAATGATGGTTTTTTCGTTTATGAAAGTCATCTGCAACCAGGAAAAATTAGTCAATCTTCGTTGCCATATCACTATCAAGCATCTCTTGTGTTGCTTCATGCCGACAATATTCTTCTACTTTGGGTCCTCTCACAACTTTTTCACAATGATGGGAAGCATCATCCAATGACCCTGCATGAAATATCACAAGTTTTGAAATGTTTTAAGTGAGAAGTTACACCAAAGGTGATTTAACTTAAGAGCCTTTTTTTCTCTCTCCAAAACAAACCAATTTTTAGAAAAGACTTCCACTTCTTTCGCGGTAGGGGTCCATTGTATTCCACTCAAAACAAGAGTCAGTTGTTGGAAGTGCTCTTCCAGCTATAAAGATCGATCAAAGGGTCCTTGAGAGGGAAGGGGTTGTTGCCAAAGCTAGCAAAAAACTTGTTGCATAGGGCTCCATCAGTCTTAACAACCTCAGTCCTTTTAATCAAAAGTGCGCAGGTGAAAATTCTTGAATAATGTCCTTTCTCTCATCATTTTCATATTATCCTCTTCACATGATTTAACAGTTTTGCCAACCAAACATCTTATGGTGGTCTATCCGGTGTGACTATGACCTTGTCATATACCTCTGTATCAAGAAACATTAAGTAGCATTGCACACAAGTCATACTTCAGTTGTTAAATACTAATGGTTTCCTGCTGAAATAATACTGTCACAAAAGTTAGCTAAAAGACCGGTGCCAATTTTGCTCCTAACCAAAAGAAAGACTAGCATCTAATGCCAAGAACACGACAAAAAAAAGAGGAACAAAAGTAAAGTAGAGAAAACTCATGAGATTGAAAACAAATAAATAGATTGCTGGACAATCAAATATATAATATCAAATTCGGACCAAATTATATTTTATCACAGTTTGGTAACTCACCAACTTGGGGTCAATGCTCATACCAGACCGTGCCAGAATGATATCGAAAGCATGGATTGACGCCAGATCCAAAGATGGTGCGTAGTGCAGAGGTACAGCTTAGGTACAGAGCCTACAGCAAAACCTCATCTGCGATCATCATTCAAGTTCCTCGTACAAAAAGGATAGGCTGTGTCTGAGGTCAAAGTTCTTCATTTGCCTCTTGATGGCACGTCCACACATTGTTGCATTTAGTTACCGCGGTCACATCTACTACCTGAGTCTGAAGAACAAGAACTGAACATGGGATTTTCAGCAAAACCAAAACGGAGTGGAATTTTGGAGTGAATATGTTAACTGTTTTGAAATACCATTCAACAGATCATTGTAGGAAATCATTTAAGTGTAAATTAACTTTTGGCTCAGCATTAGACCAATTATCTGTCCAGCATAATGAGGCTACTTTTGACTTCCGAATCTATCATTAAAATATGACTTGCAAATTTCTGTCAAAATAAGTGCTTTGAGGTACCTTAATCTGGATATAACTAAACAATGACTGTGAACAGAATGCAGCTTTAAGCCAAAAACTGAACGAACTTTCATCAAATTAATAGGATCTATTCAAGAGTAAATTTCTGATCTTACAAGAAAAGGGAAACAAAAACCTTTCCCTCTACATCAAAATTTATGAGTTCCAAAACTACCTAAGAACAAAAGCAGTACAAACATTTCTGTCCTGCAACTTCTCTCAATCAGCTTTTTCTTAGCAAGCAAGAAGCTGTTCTGCACATCACTGATTTTAAGAGTGAACAACTCTGCTCATGCTAGAAAGCACGACAGTGTGGAAAGAATTTCATTACTTCAGAAAAAAATTCCTACTAATGTAGTCATAAATAAATAAGAAAAAAGGAACACTACACAGAGGATGTATCAACAAAAACCTCATTTAGAACATCATCCTCACTGTTTGCCAAGGAAAAAAGCTCAGCATCTTTATCTTCATCATTAGAACAATCCCTCCTCTGAAGCTTTGAATGAGCAGCAACAAATATCAACTTTTGCGCCTTGTCCATACCCACTCTTGAATGGGAATGAGCATTCGCCCATCTCAAGAAAGACCAGTTGCACTTATAACCACATGAACTTGCACGAAGGAAGATTAGCCTAACTGCCACCTTGCCAAGTGACTTAAATTCAGTTAGGTAAGTTTCCCACACAAGTCTGCTACTTTGTGGATTTGCAATTTTCATCTTTCCAGAGCTGGCATCCCTTTGTTTCAATTGTACAGCTTGAGCATACACAGGATCAAGTCCTTCAGTTCTCCATTTCATAAGCTCCATTAACGCAATGTGAGCCTCTTCCCTAGAGACAAGCCGGGTTATGAGCTTGTCCACGTCTTTCTCTTGCTCTGGTGTCAGACATTTAAATGGAGGCAAGTACTTGCCACTATTGTCCCTAATCAGATAGAGAGGGTCAAGTATAAAGGCAGCAGCCCAAGCAGGATGATAGTTCTTGTTGAATCTCCTTTCAATCACCTTCTCTACTGGTCCCTCGACAATGTGAAACTTCGAACACCAATCCTTCACTTTCACCCTAAGCTCCTCCCAAAGAGGAAGGCACTGCCCTATACGCGGCTTCTCTGTCTGGATATCCTGTGCCATTGTCTTAATCAGTTTTACCAGTGAATGAACTGCTTCAAGTTCATTCCAAAAATGTGGACTCCTCATCATCTCTTCGATATCTCTAGCAATTTGCTCCTCCATAGACAATATCTTATAGGATTCATCCAACAATACTAATTGAAGTGCACGTGCTGAGCTCAGTATATCCTCCACTAATGTGTACACAGGTTCAAAATCTGATCTTTCATAACTTCGCAATGGTACTCTCAGTAAACTAGCATGTCCATACTCCTGCAATTGATACTTGTGAAAACTATTCCGAACTTGAGACTTGTTATTAACAAAATTCGCAAGCTTTAGACAATTCCCAGTTACATTCTTTAACAAAGGAAGCTCCTTACCGAAATCCTTAACCAAACTATTAAACGCTTGATACTGACAAGAAAGGTTAACCATCCAATGATGCTGATTCTCTAAGTTCCTCAAAGCCTTGGCCTTAAACTTATCTGCCACTATACCTACACATTGGTGCAAACTGTTGCCGCAAATTTCAGAAATGGTCTCCATAAAAATCTCCTCTGCATACTTAGAATGCACGTATCCACTAGTGAACACGGCCCTTCTAAACACGCCGGTCCCATTGGGAAGATTCACAGACAAATTAACCAAATTCTCATCACCATAATTCTTCGACTTCCAACCATCGGATGCAATCTGAAAGAACATAGCATCACGAATCTTCACCTCGGATTCAGCCTTTGCTTCCTCATACTTAGCATCCAATCTTGAACCCACAAAATCTCTCCTTGAGAGTGGCGGCAAACCAACTTGGTTTAAGAAAGATTTAAACTTTGGATGCTCAAGACTCGAAAACGAGACCGACCCACAACATTCATAGACCCAATCAGCAAGATAATCAAGTGCAGAATCAATTTGGGATTTGCTTAATGTTGGGCCAGGTGATGCTTTAGGACTCTTTAGCTTTTTCACACTATCTTCTAACATAGCTAAAGCACCTAAATCTTCTTTACCACCTGACAACATCAAATGCTGATGTGCATACACACCACCACCACTACCAACTGTACAACCACCACTGCCTGCCGTACAACCACCACTGCCACCAGTAGCAGTAACAATTGTAGTAGCCATTGAAACAACAGGGGAATAGGCTAAGTCAACCGCAAATCTAGAGGGATCAACAATTGCTAAAGGTGGAACTTGGTACGACGTCGTAGTCACACTCCCCCCACCCCCACTTGAACTACCCCCACGTACCACACCTCCACCACCACCAGAAGAGCTCCGTTTACGGTGATTTTGCTGAGTTGTTGACGGAGTTAAAGTGACGTTAGGAGTAGTTGGTGGCACAGAAGAAATGGGCTTTGCAACAGAGTTGCTGAAATTAGGACAAGTCCCTCTTTTGAGATGTTCAGAGGCAGTTCTTGAAGGGTTTGAAGCAGAAAAAACGGCGTCGCATAAAGAACAACGGAGTTTAACAGCTTTAGGAAGTCCAGTATCAGAATTATGGACCAAAATAGGCTCAAGGTGAGCCCAATACCAAGCCCCTTTCCCTTTTACAGCTTTTGTCCGTACCATCACAAGCCCTTCGTACCTCTTGTGCACTGCCTTAGCATTAAGCTCGTCGACCGAGCCTCCGCCGCCGCCGACGGTGGAGTCCACGGTGGCTAAAGTAGTGGTTGTATTTGGTGTAGCAGCCATTTCGTTAAAATACCAGAAAAGCCCCTATAATTACTGACGTATGATGTATTAAAATGCAAAGGACGTGGCTTTATGTAAATTTGATGTTTTTAAGGGGCATTTTTTTGGGCAGGCATTATTTTTAGCCGGGAAATGTAGCCGGCAAAGGAGGGAAAGTGGGTGACGGCCGGTGGTCCATTATATAGAGAAAAAGTGTTTTGGACTGTAGTGGTCCTCTTAAGACTCCTTGAAGTTTTTGACACGTTTTTTAAAAAAAATTTGGCTGTGTTGGGAGGAAATTTCGAGCAGTTTCTATAGAGAGATACAAAAAAAGTTCCGGGCCGGAATTTCGCCGGAAACGGTGCCGGAGAAAAAGAAGAAGAAGAAGAGAGAGAGAGAGAGAGAGAGAGAGAGAGAGAGAGAGAGAGAGAGAGAGAGAGAGAGG